ATGATGAACAAGAATTCAAATCCATGCTAGGCTGCACAATCTTTGCTTTGCAGGCCTCAAACTTGTTTGGCACTCCATAATTAAATGTTTTTAACAGCTATTAGAGGCTTCAACTCAAGCATTCAATGCATTGCCCATGCTTATTTTCATTTTGGGAAGAAAGTGCACATTGCCATTTTTGAAAAGTAGCTTTATGCACAAAACTGTTCTTGAGCTTTGCACTTGTTTTCTTATGATTATACATAACCTATAACCCAAAATAAACTTGTCTCAAGCCTCTAAACAACTCAGCCCATGCTTGTACTATGCCTTGAAACCATATTCCCACTTTTCTTCAAAATCAAGTAGCATAACAATCAGTTTATATCTTGTACTTCTGACCCTCTCAAGTACTCTAACTTTCTCCTTACTTATGCACAAGTCATTTGCATCAAAACACACGCATGCTTAAGCCCTCAAAGACACAAGAACACAGAACTGTATCACAAATCACCATTGTTGCATATTCTGACCAAGAACTTCAAACTTCCATTTCACTTGTGCGTTTCTTGGCCTTTTGCTTCCAAAAGCATCCAGACATCATACATAAGCCATCCCCGTCCCTGTTACATAACTGTAACACCTCCATCATCAAGTTCCATTTTCAAAAACAGAGCTCTGCAAGTGGACTTCTCCAGAACTCCTCAGCCACTTTCAGCTCAAGCCAAGTATCACATTAGCTTCCTGGGAACTTGAGGAAGCTAACCCAATCACTAGAACTCATTGAAATCTGCTCAAACTCAAAACATGATACCTATTGCAAGGTGAGTTTTTTGACTTCTGAACTATTCATATAGACATTATTAGGCTTGCATTTATGAAGATAGAATGTAAATATCATTGCCCTGAAACTATACATGTCCATAGATTTCATTTATGTTGCTTGAGCATGTAGAATTTTGAGTTTAAACTTGCTGAAACATTTAGGTCAGAATTTGGTACTTTCACAAATTCATCTTTAACTTTGAATGTAAGCTTAAATTAGTTACATGGTTGGATTCGTGATGAAAAAATACACCAGTTTCATGTTTACATTTTTTAAAATGATTGAAGAATGAGCAAGTTACAGATCCTTTGGCTGGAGGTTGAAGATGAAGTACAGTCAGGGCAGGCTTTATGTTATGTATTTATTTTGTGCCAATGTTAACGGATGTATAGCCACCCTAGTGGCAAGGAAGCCTGCTGGTAACCAAGAGGACGTGGGTTCAACACCCAGCGCGCTGCCTTTTGTTCCTTTTTCCACATTTTTACACTTTTTTTGGTTTTTGCAACACCTGGGCCCCAAACATTGGACCTTCATGTTTTTTTCTAACTTTCTGATCCCTGTCTCATTTCAGCACCCCCTGGCCCAATTTCATTTTTATTTTCTTTTCCTTAATATATTTTATTTCTTTTTCCTTTATTATTATTAGTAGTAGTAGTATTATTAGTATATTTATTAATATTATTTTTTTATTGTTATTAATAAAAACCCAAAAAATATTTTATTTATTATTTTTACATTTATTTAGTTTATTTTGTTTATTTAGTTTATTTTGTTTCATAAAACTAAAAGAACAAAAACATTTTCTTAATAAATTAATTTCTTTCTTAATAATTAATATTTAGGTTTAGGTTTAACCATTATATTATTTTATTGTAATTAAAATTAATTTAGAACTTAGGTTTCTTTTAAATAATTAATATCCATATTATTTTTATTAATTTAAAACTTTTTCATAAATAAAACCCTAAAAAATCTTTTTTAGTTATTTTCTTTTCTTATTTAGTTTAAGTTAATTTTGTTTAATTTTCCTTAATCATTTTTTAATTAGGTCAAGATTAAACCCCTTTCATAAAAAAACCAAACAAAAATCATTTCTTTTTTTCATTTGCATTTGTACATTGTTATTTATTCAATTCTTGTACAATATTCAATATGGTTGTAATAATTATTTAGATTTAATTTTCTTGCAATTTCCCCATTTGTAAATTTGTACACCCCCTCCCCTAATAATGTAATAGCTTAGTATTTTTATTTTCCGCAATTTAATGCTTTATATATAATTGCTAGTAAATTAGGGTTTGTATGGAAAGATAAAATCAATGCTTAGAAAATCCTAATTCAAAGACAAAACAATGCATGTAAACCAATACACTTGCACACTTACACCCTTAGGGTAAATCCACTTTGTGGCCTTATAAAATAGCCATATTATGCATGTCGGGTATCTTAGCAAAAACAAACAAAATACAAGATCATAGTCCCTCGATGACGCTATCAAAGTTGCTAATCATGGTTATACGATGACCCATGTCCATCCCTTTTACATCCAAAGATAGGGTTTCTTACCAAATCAATGGTAAGATAACAATGTCAAAGGAAAGAGTAAATAAACATGACATATTTTTGAGTAGGTAGAATGTTCCTAGTTGCTTGCTCAATTTCAAACCAAAATATCCTTGCTATTTTCAAAACAAACACCAACACTTTCAAAACATCTTTCAAACTTGAAACATTTTCAAAATCAACACTTCGTACGCGTTCTTATAGAAATGAGAACCATTACAAAGACATTTTCAAAATACTTCCAAAACCATACAAAGCATATTTTCAAACAAAAGCAAGTGATCTAGCAAGTAACTAAGAGCCCGTAGATAACTACAGATGAAAAGGGTGTTAATACCTTCCCTTTTCATAATCTACCCCCCGAACTCAAGAAAACATCTCAAAGGTCTTTCCTGTTCTTTTCAGCTTTTCCTTTTGGATAAAAGAAAAGTCGGTGACGACTCTTGCTAACCGCAACATTTGCGATCGAACACAAATTAACCAAGTCAGTTCTCCCACCGTGTTACACCCCTTTTACCCAAAAAGCAAACAAACAGAAAATATAGAAAACCAAAAAGCATAATAATACCTGACTGGCTTCGGAGTGCAAATTATCGGGTTCTTTTAGTAATTAATATTCTTCCACCTTGAATGTTTGAAAGGCTAGCGCCAATCTCACCTTCGGGTTGAAGGAGATTAAATAGGGGCAGTTGTTGCACCCTAAAATTTTCCCTCTTAATTTCTTTTACCCGGCTTAGAATTTGCATTCGTCTGCATCATTTCATTAGGAATTCTCATAGCATTTTCATTCAAAAAAGAGTACCTGAGGTTCAAAAGATCAGTAGTTGTGAAGCTAGGGTTTACAACTGATTTGAGGTATGTATGTTGAATAAGATTGATTATTCTGGTTCTTCTTGGTGTACAAGACTATGGAATTAGGGTTTTATGTTCATGGATATTGTGGGCTTCGTCTCTCATCAAGCTACAAGGCTTTCCTTCGTCAAGATTTATCAAGTGCATCGATTGTTTGGGGTTTCATCAAGGCTTCATCAGAGGTTGCTTTGAAATAAGGTGGCGTTCAAGATGGGCTCTTTAATAATTTGGTATATCATTGAATTTTATCATTCCAAGGGTTTTATCCTTACTTGAGGCATGAGTCTATCGAGAACCTTAAAGTATTCGTGATAGGGTTTGTGAATGTGATGATGGAAAGAATATTCATCCAATCACTTGGCTCATTTCTCTTACAAGCTTCTTTAGGATCTATTTCAAAGTACTTTAAGCTCAAGGCCTAATGCTTATCCTGATATTAGGATTTTGAGTTTAAAAGATCAAACTATTTGATTCATGGTTTTAAGTATGTTAGATAATCAAGGTGTAGGGACACACTCGAGGGATTAAGTCGATACAAGTTCCAATAGAGCAAAAATTTTAGGTGGTTGGCAAAATATGTTTTTCATTGATTCAAATCCAATATTCACTTTCTTGATACAAGCTATACCATTGAAATTCATTCAAGAGATTTGGTTTCAAACATAGATTCAGGGTTCATTATTCCAAAAGTTTTAGGTACCATCCATTTGACATTATTCAGAGTTTATCTAAACAAAACTACAGTCCAAATCCAAACAAAATAACCATACAAATCCCGTCCCAAAATTCATTACAAAATACATAAAAAGAGTGACACAAATTCCTAAGGTCCTAAAGCCTAATATTGGTGTTCATTCATCTTCATTCCAAACTTTGCCAAGCCCTTTAGGCGACTTCCAAACCCAAGTTATGTCCAGGCCTTTGACAAACTGGTTTCACGATGCCTTGCCAAGCAGATCCAAAATCAAGAAACAAAACAAAAATCTTGCTCATTCAATTTAGCAAAACCAGTTAAAAATCCAACACAAATCTGTAGCTTGCATTAATAAAATCAGAAAGAATGCTTTCAAACCAAAACAACAAGTCAGAGTAATGTTTCAAGATCATTTCACACGAAAAAACCTGTCCATGGTGCAATATCCAAACAGCTCACAAACTCAGTTCAAACTCAGCTCTTACATCTATTAAAAACCAAAACCGCCCCTGCGATTTATACCAAATAAAACCTGTTCAGACAAAAAGAATCTTGAAGCATTCATGACCTCATACCAAACCAGTTCATAACAAAAAAATAGTTCAAACCTAAACTGATGGTTAGACTCAACCGACCTTGCATATAATTGTCAAAATCGTGCCAAAACAGTTTTAGCCTGCATCAATTATCCAAAATCCAGCCCTGCATTAAAAAACCAGAAGATAAATTCAGGAAATCATGACAGAAAATTGGATAACCTCCAACAGTTCCTATTACTAACAGAAGTTTCAGAACTTGCCTCTAACAACCTTCAGCTTACCAACTAACCGAATTTCTAGCTACACTAACTAACTTCACATCCCATTCTAACCGAATCAAAACAGAATTTGATATTAAATCTCATCCATCCAAATCTCTAACAGAAAAGGCCAATTTAATAGAGTCACCTTTTTTCAATCGGATTCTGAAAGATTCTGCAGAAGAATCTTCAACCTTCTCTCTTCTTTTCATCATCTTTATCCTTTAATCTTCATAGAAGAATCACATAACCTTCTCTCTGCAATCTTCATCTCTCACTCCCTTCTCTGAAACTCGTTCTTCCTCTCTTTCGCTCCACCTTCCATCAACAAAGCATCTGCAACTTCACGCAACTTCAGCCATCATCTTCATCACACTTTAATTCCACATCCTTCGCATCAATTATCTTCACGCATCTTCATCGCTCCTACGTCAACAGCATCACAACCACATCATCATCTTCTTCACATCAACACTGCAAATCTGTTGTTTCACATCTATCTTCATCGCACAAGCTTTCTCATCCCCTACTTCAACAATCAACACATCAACTTTCAACCTTCAAACTGCTTCAAACAACATCGTGTTTTCAACATCAACAATACCACAATGATAGTAAATTTACAGAAGAAATAGAAGAAGAGAAGAGGAACCTAAAAGCCAAACATACCTCTTCTTCTCTCTTGAATCAATTCCGCCCTTTTTTCTTCTATAAATCCGCAACGGAGATTGTGTAAACGAACGGATGAAGGTGAGTTCTAATCGGAGGGAGAAATCGTAACAGGATGATGCCGAAGCAAACCAGACGGTGACTTTTAGAGCGAGATGAAGGTTGAGAATTGAAGAAGATGGAGAGAACTGAGAGGAAGCCGCTGCGCTTCGTGAGGGAGATAAAGTGACACATTTTCTCTCTTAACCCTAATCCCTTTTCCATTTTTTTTATTTTTTTTATTTTGTTCAATTTAACAAAAAAAAAGAATTGGATAATAGGTTGAAACATTTTTTGAAGGTGATGATGGACCGGTGACTTGGTGGACCAAAAATCTCTTTCTTAGGCCCATGCACATGTTTTTTCTTTGAAGCCTGGAATTGAAGCAAAAAAGTTTATAGACTCAGTGAGCCTTATGCCTTGAAGTAGTTTACTGAGCCATGCTCCCCGATTCAACATATACTCCCATGTTATACACTAATTCTCATTTTGTTCTCAAAATTTTAGCAATTAGTCTTTTAGTGTTTCTTGTACAATTTTTCGCTGAAATTTTGTGTGAATATTAATATGTTGATCCCTCACTTGATGATATTTTTTTCATAATTTTTCTATTGATTTAGGAATTAATTAAATTAATGCTTGGTACATGATTATAATTAGGATTTTAGCGTATTCTTGTCGATTCCATATCCTTGATTCAATTTCCTTGGTATAATAAATGGTTTAATGGTAGGTTCTGATCCTTGAATGGATGCTTGAGTTGTGCTTACATTTCCTTGTTAATTGCTAACTCAGTTGGTGTATTTTTGTGCAAGCTTCCAATAGAGATTTCTCGCACCATGAGACAATAGTAGAGTATTTTTCATCGTATAGTTTTGTATCTTCATGCAGGGTTATCGTATGATAATTCAAATGTATGTGATTTGTTTTCATATGGAGGCTTCGACGCTTATCCTTTACGTCCGATTTTCTGATTATTTCTCTTTGGTTATGTAATACAGTGGCAGAACCGATTGTTATACTGGTTTTACATTTGTGTTCGCAAATGTCGCGGTAAGCAAGAGTCGCCACCGATATTTCTTTTATCCAACAAAGGAAAGGGTGAGAAGAACAGAAAAATACCTTTCAAGATTTGTTTCTGAGTAAGGGGGTAAATCATGGAAAGGGAAGGTGTTAGCACCCTTTCCATCCGTAGTTTTCTACGGGCTCTTAGATGCTTAGCTCATTTTGAAATACCTTGTGCTTTGTGTGTTTTTTAAAAGTATTTTTGAAAATCCAATAGTAAGGCAGCTTGCTTTATAATAACTCTTGTATCAGTCCTCAAGAGTGTTGATAAAGCGTTTTGAAAATGTTTTTGAAATTGGTTTTGTGTAAATGCAAAAATTTGTTTGAGCAAGCATCTAACAGCTATCTACTTTACTCGAAAGGGTTGTTCTTTTCCTCTTTTCCTTTAGACAGTGCTATCCTACTATTAGTGAGTAGGTAGCCCTAATCGTCGGATGTTTGAGGGACATTCGAAGGGACGTTTATAGTCACAAAGGAAACTGGGCAAGAAACCTTAGTAACTATCCTAGGGTTTTAAGATCATTTTTACCGAGGCAACGCCGAGAGGGTCATCGAGGGACTTATGATCTTTAAACCGGAGGGTAGCCACTAAAATCTCTCACGTTTCAAGAGTTGTGACTATTTTCCGAAGGCAACCAAAGTGGGGTACCCTAGAGGTGCGCATGTGAAATTGTGTTGTATTCAGTTATTTATCTTTTTGCATTTAGGTTTGATGGCGTTTTGTTTTATTCTTGCCATATAATCCTAATTAGCATACATCTAAACAGTTTATAGTTTGCAGAAATTAAAAGTGCAGAAATGTAAATCCTAAACTATTACAAGGCTTCGGGGAGGGGGGTTAATTACATATCCAAAAACTTGGAGGAAAATAAAGCAGTAAATGTAAAAGTCCTATCTTAAACTATTACAACCAGAAAGCAGGTACAATAATATATAAAAAGTGCGAAAGGAAATAACACGCACGAATTGGAAATAACATCTAAATCCTAGAAAGTTAAAAGAAAACTCTTTTTTTTTTTGCTTATTTGGAAAATGTTAAAATTAGACTAGTTAATTGAAAGAAAAGAAAAGCAAATCTATTTTTTTTTTTTTTGGAATTTGTTATGCAAAGAAAGTGAATTAACCTAAATCTATTTAATTTTAAATTAAATAAAAATGGTTAAATAATTATTTATTAATTAACAAAAATAATTCTACCAAAAAAAAGCTAAAACCTAAGTTTGTGATATTAATTATTTTACATGGTTATTATTTTAAAAAAAGAATTAAAACAAAATATATAAAATGCAAACGAGCCTGATGTAAATAGTAAATGGGGGGAGTGCGTTTATAAATTTACTAGGCCCAAGTTGCACTGGCCTAGGTTCCTGTGTGGAATCCAGTGTAGCTGACTCTTGGAAACTTCAGTGGGACACTGAATCTGAAGTGTTTGAATTAGATATGATGAAATCACATGACATTGTGATGAGGGCACACGGTAGGCGTGCTGAGGTCTGAAGTGTTGGATCTGTATGAAACAAGTAAGAGAAAATCAAATTATGCAAAAGGGTTGGGTCGAACCCAGCCCCCTTTGGACTAATGCTTTATCACGCCTCGCCTTGCCAACTAAGCTGCATGCTTCAACTGTTAATTAAATAACAAGAAATAAAAACATATTAAACGTGGCATTTGTACCGAAGGGACGCTGGAGCCCTAGCTCCGGTCGTCTTCTCCGACTGTCCCTTCCACCAAAACCTGCAAAAATGACATGAATAAAGATCTAGGGAGACCCTACCCCCCCTAATTCAAGGTCTGCAGTCTCAATGGAAACAAATTCAAGACCTAAAACTGGATGGTTTGGGAGCTGCTACACCATTAGAAATATTTAAAAATGACTATGGCATATCAATATTCCTTATGCATGGGAACATGAAGATGACTCAGATCTGTCAAAAAATATCGCAGGAACATGTTAACAATATTGGCATGGTTTAAAACAAGATAAAAACAGAAATATGAAAATCATGAATCATATGCAACCGGTGATGCCATGTGAGGGTGTTTCGTGTGCTTGGAGACTTTAAGATTGTCTCCAACTTATTCAATCTCCTTTCTAGGAATGAATGGAACCACGATCTTGCAGTACGAAGGTTTGTAGTGAGGGTTTGGAAGCTTTAGGGTTTCTTGAAAATCATGGAAAAAATTTGACCACTTTGAGAGGCTGGGGTTTTTTTGCGTGTGTTGATAGGAAATCTCCGTCTCTCCTTCTGAGATTATGAGGTTTATATAGATAAAGGTTTTAGGTCAACAATTGGGCTTCATATCTTTGCACAGTATGATGGAGAGATTTAATATGATTTTTTGCATGAAAACTTGCTATATTTGATCCAATCATGTGCCAATCTGTTTTATGCATTTTTGCCAACTTGCTATGAGTTGTTTGGGCCTCCAACTTGATGGGAATCGAAAGATTACATGCCCTTATAGATCCACTTCACACCAATGGTTTCTTATGTTGCCTCTTTCGACAAGCTCCCAAGCTTTGCTCCTTTCGATGGCTCTGAGCTTCATTTGAATTGCTCAAGGCCTCATCATCATGGCTTCTTCGATTGAGTCACCATATGCATTGGTTGCTTGATCTGGAAAACTTTCATATCCAATCAGCCTAATCGAACTCAATTCTTGTTGCTTTAGATCTCCTGACCAATCGAAGTATCGCCTCTTCATCTTGGCTGGTCGAAGCTTCATTCTGTTCATCTCTTTCGAACTTAGTTGTACAAGTGACTCTTCGATTCGACCAGTCAAAGTATCAACTTATTCATTTTCTTGTCGAACTCAAATTTGAATCTAATCCCACACTTTAAGAACATATTTACTTAATCACTAATTTATCTTCAATTGGTGAATACAGTTTGTATGCACCAATCAAATGATGACCTTCGAGCATTAAGACTTCATTTCAATCATCCAACTTCTTCCTTACTTGTTTGGGTACCTTCCTGAAACACATTGAGCCAAACACTCTAAGATGACTTATATTTTGCTGATTCGACCCTAACTGTCCTTCGATCACGTCATGTTTAAAGGTTGCATGTCCTTCGAACCATTAGACTTCCACGTGCTTCTTTGGATAAGATAAAAACTTTTGAATTTAAAATCTTCTTCTTTTCGAAGCGCCCATTCAAACAACATGTCAGTCGAAGTGTGTCTTCCTTGTAATGCTTTGAATATACATTTCCATAGATCGAAAACAAACCCTTCGATGACGCTCTTTACTAGCTCTACATCAATTGAAGACTTCATAAAAGCATCCTCACATTTTCTTTCGAACCATTCATTCTTTGATCCTAGTGCTTCGTTGAGCATCAAAATAAACTGCATACTGATGTCGAAGCTGCTTCGACCCAAAAGCTCTTAGGCGTATTTTCAGCTTTCGACATACACTTATTTTCTTCTTTCAGTTAGGCCATTATGCTAAGGCGTATAGGGTGTCATGGAAATCATTTGAAGCTTTTTGCAAACCAAGATTCTTTGTGAGAAAAGAAACCCTATATGGAGATTTATTGCTTGGGAAGAGAATTTGTCTGGTCAATTCTTGGTCAACCTTGAGCAATTGGGGACCTCAATGAGCATGTCTTGAGTAAAAATGGGAGGGAAAATTTTGGGGTACAATAGGTTGATGTAAAGCTTGCACGAAGTTTTCCAGGTTTCTCTGCTTTGCTTGCCATGCTACGAACTTTTGTTCGTTTGGTATTTTCTCTGGTTTCTCATTTCAGCATTTTATCGCTTTCTAGAGATCATGTATAGTAGGTGTATTTATCGCTTTCTAGAGATAATGTGAAGTAGGAAGCGGGAAATAAAGAGCGTGCGCTCGAAGTCGCTGTTTAAAGTTTTGTAGTAGGAACCACTTTCTGTATGCTATTTGTGTTTGTTTAAAACCTTACCTTTGAAATAGGCAATCTGCATGTGTGTTTTCATTTGTGC